AAAACTTCATCCTGCTCAGCTCCACAGTGTTTAACACAGGGCTAGTAAAGACTCATTTTACAACACAGTCGCACACACACACACACACATGCATGCACACACACACATACCAGGATACATGTCTTACCCTCTGGGCCTTTTCTTCATCAGATAAAAGATAAGTCAACAGTTTTTGTTCACATTCTGTAGAAATAAATTCCCGCACAATTGCCTGATGGCAACGACAGGCAAAAACTAACCAAATGACTGCCCTGCCATTGGCTGCACACCTATGCTGATGCAAATCGTATGCAAATAAGAGATTCCAGAGAATTTCCAACAGCAGTGTTTGGAATTTATGAGCGCTCAAACGCTGAGTCACTGAGGGTGAACTCGGGCTGCTTTGTCACGCTGAGATAAGAGATGAACAGAAAATCAAACTGATCCATGAAATAATAACGCATCAGGTTCCCTTAATGTAAATCTGAGGCAGTTCAACTGTGTTCTGTACGACCTTACGTTCACTGTGACGGTGGAGAGGATTAAACATCACAGTGAACGATCAGTCTACAAGGTGACGTGTGATTTTGCAATTTATTTTAGTGTTTGTGAAGTTCCCAGTAAGCACAGGAAGAACCTGTCCTTCAGAGACGACTAGTTTGCTACTGATTAATCAGTCAGTTGATCGAAATGATTGTTTTTCCCTCCGAAAAAGCAAAATGTACAATTTGTTTAGGTTCATTTTATTTTGATAAACTCTATGTCACTGTAAAATGCAGCATAGTATGAAGTGAACACACATTTTTACATAAAGAAGTGCAGCACTGTTAATAGTTAAACCAGCAACTCCAACATCTGTGTCCAAAACAAATAACCTTCACTCACTGGTTCATATTCATTCCATTGTCTAACAACAGAAACAGATAAACATGTAAATGAGAGCAGCTTTAGTAGCAGTTTGATGACTTAAAATCACAGAGAAAGATTAAAAAAAGACAGATTATTTAAATCAAACTACTCCTCCTTTCTAGTTTTAGGCCACTTTAATACAGTTTCCACTGCTTTATGCCACAGTTTATTCCTGACGAAACTGCACAATATTTGTTATCCTGGATTTTAGAAATACTACATCCTGCCTTCTTTAGATTTCGAGTAATCAAGTTTGTTCTAACCACTACAGTTGGAGGTCTGATTCGCTGCGTGTGACAGCCCAGGACAGAGTGTTTTTGTGACACGGATGATGGCGTTTATGTCTCGATAAGTTTTCAGATGTGATGAAAGTTTGAAAGAAGAAGCAGCTGTCACAGTCTCAGTGACAGAGCTTGTCAGAACAGAAGAGTTGTCATTCTGTGCCCCCCTCTGTAGAAACTTTGTTAGATTTTGCTTGCATTTTCCAAAAATACAGCACAACAAAGTGTCGTTTGACCTGATTTAATGCGTCGAATATCCAGTGCCTGCTTTGCATTAAAACAATGTGCCTTTATGGGTTAGCTTTGAGCTACGTGGCTCTACTTTTATGAGCTTATTGCAATTTCCTACTTTAAAAGAAAACAACTCACAGACTCACAAGAGGAATTGTATTTTTCATCAGTGGATTCATCTGTGAACAACTTGCCACTCTAAAACAAACATATAAAGGACACAAAAGCAGCTTTAATACTAATATTTCCAGCAGTGCAACTCAAACATATTTGTTCCTCATGTCTGTGTAGATTTTATCTGTAAGCTTGCGAGTTGTGCTGACTCTGTAGATTGTTTTGCAGATTGTCTGTCTTTAGCATGTGCAAGTGTGTATTTGTGTTAAATTGATGGAGAGCTTGTTATTGTTGGTCTGGAAAATCTCCCCCGGGGACTCAGAGGAGACAGCAGCCACACAGCTGAGACCACTCCCACTACAGTCCTGCATGCCTCTGTGTGTGTGTGTGTGTGTGTGTGTGTGTGTTTCGCTTTCCAGACAAATAAAGGTGGGCATAATGACTACCTTTTGCCAGCTGAACGGACTATCTCTTCTTCAGTCCGTCTATTATTCACTTCTCCATCACACGCACAGCCTTTGTAGCTTCAGGATTACTCAGTGTGTTTTCTATTTATAGCTTTGTCCCAAAACAAGCGATCGTTCTCCACAAAAGCCCAAACAAACAAAAACCCTGCACATGATTCACGTCCGAGCGGTGTGACTCACATTGTTTCGCTGCTTTTACAAGACGCGCAGCTGTACTTCTCTTTTTACGAGCCGTCATTAAGTCCTGCCTAGTGTCTGAGCTAATCAGCTAACATACCTCAAGCCCCGAACATCAGTAGTTTTACCTTTTTTAAAAAAAAAAATATGAATAAAGCTGGTTTTGATTTTCTTGCTCTGTTGCTTAAAAGTAGTTTCAGATTTGTTGCCATGTTGGATTTTTCCTTATCATGCAAATTTCATGTCAATTTGACTTAAATGAGGTTTTAAATATAATTTGAGGACCTTCTCCCTGACATACAGCAAACATTTTAGTTTATTATGAACAATTTGAAGAATGTACGGTCGGTAATCTCTCTTTCTCTTAACGACCTGCTGTGTTTTTCATAAAAAAAATTCTGTGGGCATATATCAGCTTAACTAATGCAGGAAATACAGTGTGTGTGTGTGTGTGTGTGTGTGTGTATGGGGGGGTGTGTGTATGCTTGACTGCAGCAGGGAAGTGGATTCTAAGTGAAATATCTGGTTCAATGTGGCGTAAAGGAGCAGGCTTCCAGCTCCCCACCACCGCCACCGTGCCATAACTCCCCGAGTATGTGTGTCTTTGTTTGTGACAGCTCTCCTGGCAGTGCCATGCTAAGCCTGCCACCATCGTCCTGAGTAGCAACCAAGCTTAACATCACAAAGACTAACACACCGCTCTGTGTGGGTGTATGTGTGTGTATGTGTGTGTGCATGCAGATGCTGATGAAGCAAATGTCTTTTAAGTAACTCATAGTCACAATAGGCTTGTTTTTGAGTATTAGCAACTTTGGTTTTGTCGTACGTATTCATTGTTTAATTTAATTTTGCTGCCCAATTCTGTCCCAGAAGCTTATGTGTTAGATAGAGGACCTATAAAACGCAGTCAAAAATACATTTGAAAGCTCTTTGAATCAAGATTGTGGTGTTCCAGAGACCATTCCCAATAACCTTCCATGCTCACAATATTAAAACTTTGTTTAAAAATGTCATCAAAATGAGTGAAAAGGTGAATGCGTTTCTTATCCATCACTTTGATGCTGTGACCAGTTGTGTATACAGAGTGTAAATCTCCATGTCCATTAAGTTTGAGCCCTTACTGTCAGATCTGGTCCAGGAGCTGGACAGGATTTTAATGTCTGTACTGAAACTGTTGACTAGGGCTGGGCCATATCATACCATGCACGGTAAGACCAGTGTAACGTTAGGGGATGATATGAAATTGAAATATCGCCCCAGTAGGGCTGGACCTGGATATCAGAATATCTGGTCGTTGTGGTGGTATCCGGATAGCAATTTTGAGATCCGAATATTCGCCCGCCACGATATCACCCTGCCCTACTGTTGACTTTGCTACGTTTTCAAGTTAAAAGCAAAACAAACCAAAAAACCATGAAAACCTCTCACTGATGGAGGCAGAGGAAATCTGAAGCACAGAGAAGTGTTATGCCATTCAAAACAGACAATTAACACTTCAAATCAGCTCTGCTTAATGTGGCCCAGTAAAATAAGTCCAGTACAGAAGAACCCTGTTTTATTGGCACTCAGAAACGTAGCTTCAGCATTCTTCATTAGCTGCAGGCAAGCCAGAGTGAACTGAGCGACACAAACATGTGAATGTGGAATTAAATTCATTAAATGAGAAGAGAGCACAAAGATCAGTTCCTGTTTTGTGATACTTGTGTATCAGGGATGTAATAGTACATGAATCCATCCTGATTCTACTGAGAACATTTTGGCAGTGCACCAATTTTTGGGCTCAGCGTGTGACTGTTATGGTCACACATCTGACCAAAAAGTGCACCATTATCATTACCAACATCACTGGTCGCGCTGATGCACCTGGCATTTACCACATCTGTCTGTTTATGTCTGTGAGTGGTCCAGCCAGGTAGATAAAACCACCTGGTTTTACCTCTGATAAATCCGACATTAGAGCACCTCATTTGATTCTTTTCAAAGTAATTCAGTTTCTGCCTGAGCTGGATGTGCTGCAGTAACCGAGTGGGGACTAGAGGCTTCTCCGTGCACAACGAGTAGTGATAAATCTTAATGTGTAGCCAAAGAAGAGCTACCATTTCACTAACTTTGAGTCTTGGAGTATTGAGCAAAAATGATTAATGCATGAATCATTATTATCATCACACAAAAAAGTACAACTAAACCTTTAGGAGCACCAAAATTACAAGAAAAAGAAGGGAAAAAAAGTTTGGCACACCAGTGTAATCAAATGTTAGTATGTAGCACCAGTTGTGTCCATTTGTCCAAGTTGTATGAAACATGTATGATACCCAGCCAGAATCAGCATCTTTTCTGCTCAAACTTTATGCGACAAATGTATCTGTAAAAGCAAGTTCCTGCCCACAGTTTGGCACTTCAGTATATGTATTTTTATAAATATAGACGAGAAAAACATTATGTTTACTTGCTGTACTGTATCATTACACCTCCACTGTTCTCCCATATAGTACCTTAAACTTACAGGAGCAGAGCAGCACTGTTTTGGGTACAAAAGAAAAGTAGTTTGCTTCATAGCTTTAAATAAAATGAAGAAATTAGAGACTTGTTAAAACGTAATGCTTGGGAGGGACTTTTCTGAGATCATGCCGACCCGTTGCGTGAGTCAGACTACAAAGGAACTGCGCCAGACACCGATGAAGTCGTTCTGCTTTTCCAGGATGCCATGTGCTTTGTTGAATCCCGCATTATAAGATCTGTTGTGCGAGTTTGCGTTGGCAAGATCGCTGTTTTCTTACCTTCACAAAGTCATGTTTGCGAATCCGTTGTGTGAAAATAAACTCTCTCTCTTTCTATAGACGACCCAACAGAAGCGGACCTGTGGTTGCTCAACAGCTGCACTGTGAAAAACCCTGCAGAGGACCACTTCAGAAACTCAATCAAGTACTGAAAACACAAACACACACCTTTACACCTCACCTACTTTATGTGACTTCACAGTTTGTTTGTTTTTTTGAATATATTTTTTAGGGTTTTGTCTTTATTTAGAGCAGTAGAGAGAGACAGGGAAGGGGGAGAAGAATGAGGAGCAGCAAAGGGTCGTGAGCGGGAGTCGAACCCGCGACTGCTGCATCTGTATATAGCCTCTGTTTATGGGTCACTCGCTCAGCTAGGTGAGCTATAGGGGCGCCCCGTGACTTCACATAGTTGACGGGATTTTCATGAGAATTGGATGAAAATAAATCAGCTGATTAAGACATCTTTATATGATAAAGTAAATATGCCAGGACTAATTTGTCGGTGGCGGGGCTGCAAGGAGAATCGGTGGTTAGCAAGAAGGTCGCCGGTTCGCGTCCCGGTGAGGACACCCGGGATCTTT